TTATTATTATTATTGAAAGCTCATTATTTTTAATCAGTTCTTTTCTCTCCTCAGGATAAACAAGCAGGTATCACCGCTTCCTGTAAGTCAAACATGACAGAGTGAGTTTAGGAGGTGAAGCACTGCAGAGTCTGACCAACATGTCTTTCAGATCCAGGAGCCCAGCTGTGAGGACGAGTATGAAATCTGTGATCCAGACGACGGTGAGGTTTTAGGTTCAATTATCGTCACACCTCCACCTGTCAAAGCTCAGGACGCCACCTGCAGGCTCTGAAAGAGACCTGTCTGAACGCTGAGTCGGCATTTTCTCWCCTCTGTTCCACACACTTCCTGTTTTAGCTCTTCACACATCAATATGTTCAGTTAGGACTGGTGTGCTTAACTTTTACTGACTTTACAATTTTTAAATTAACTGTTCACAAAAACGGTACCACCTGGGAAAATCTTCTGCTGCTTCAAAAACTTAAGTTTTCTCTGGAAAATACCATTTTTATGCTTCTTTTAGACACTATCTGCTAACTTTAGCTTTTAGCAACTGTGTTCCTCATTTTAGCTTTTATCTACAACTTTACTACATTTAGCTTTTAGTAAGTGTGTTCCCAATTTTAGCTTCTATCTAGAGTTTTGCTGATTGCAGCTTTTAGCCATTTTGCTGATTTTAGCTTGTATTTTGTTTGTGGCTTCAGTTTTGATGATTATCTTTTTAAGCTTTTATTTTTACCTGTTTTGCCCATTTCATTTTTAGCTGCTGTTTTTTGAGTATAGCTTTTAGCTTCTTTGTTTTTAATTTTTGCTTTTAGCTTCTCTATGATTTTGTTAAATTGAACTTTTTGCTAWGCTTTTGCCAGGTTTAGTATTTAGATAGTTTTGGTGATTTTGTCTCTTTATTCTGTTTGTTGCTACAGATTAAACTGTTTTATTGGTACMATTTAGCTTCTGTATACAGTTTTGCAACGTCTAGCTGCTGTTTTGCCTCTTTTTGCTTCAGTTCTGCTTGTTTTAACTAACAGCTCAGTTGTCATTTCTTTCATCTTCACATTTATATTTTCAGAAAATGTATTTTCTCTATAATTAACCATAAAGACTCAGCTGTTTCTAACACAAATTTCGGCTCCTTCAGGTTTCTGTGACAAGCCCTCAGTCAGTCCTCCTCCTCGTCGGCCCAAACCTTTACCCAAAGAGTAAGAACCAGCCATCCTGTCATTTTATCCCTTTTTCCTCCAATTAAACTCCAATGTTTGACAGATAAATAACAGAGCATCTGAACTGTCACCGTCTCCACAGGAGGACACCAAAACCACCGGTAGTACCGGTAGGACTGCCTTTAAATAATTCATTTAATACCAGATCTCATMCTGCTGTTGACTGGAGTTTCATTTAAAAAACAAAACCTGTTTATTTACTTTGTTCTGCTGAAAATAATCCAATATGACTTTTCTTTATTGCAGAAACCCGATTTAAAACCAAGAGAGTTTGAGAGTAAGTAGACTCTTAAAAACAGTTGATAAGTTCTTTACTTTTAACAGAAACCAGGTTACATTTTGGATGTGTGTGTTTTTAAAAGGCAGGTCACTTCCTGTGATGCAGACGGAGCCCAAACCTCCTCCAAAAGCTTTTTCTCTGGACTTTAAACGACCAAAGTAAGGCAGCGTTTCAGTTACCKGAACACTTCCAACACCTGTAGTTTTTATACGTTAAATCTTTGCTGTTTCTCTGATCTGTTCTGCAGAGTTCCTCTCCCACAGTTTACCCTCCCCAGTAAGTACCAATCATTTTTGGTTTTCCCACCAGTTTGACATCAATCTCTGCTTTAATAAGTCAATGTCTTGTTGTCCCAGAACCAACTGAGAAAGCAGTTGCTGCTGCTGAAAATGGATCCATAAGTCAAGACAAGGTGTGAAAATAAATCAATAATTCTAGTTTTATATAAGGTTTGCTTTAAAATAAGTTTAGTACCTTTCGCTGCAGGATACAGATGTTGGGAACAAGCCCTGGTACGCTGCAACGTGTGACCGAAAGACAGCCGACGATGCTCTGCAACGATCCAATAAGGTCCAAATCCTCTTAGGGAGCACTCTGCTGATTGTTTTCCTCCTGACACCCTGTCAGGTTTGACCGAGTCGTCATGTTCCACTTCCAGGACGGGKCGTTCATGGTGAGGAAGAGTTCGGGTCACGATGCGCAGCAGCCATACACGTTAGTGGTGTTCTACAACGGCAGGGTGTACAACATCCCGATCCGATTCATCCCGGCCACGCAGCAGTACGCTCTGGGACGAGAGAAGAAGGGAGAGGAGGTACGGGTGGAGACGAACTCAGCTTYATTTAGGGTTCTATTTGCAACCAGTCCTGATCCAGGAGGACCACTATCCTGCAAGGCCTGCTTGTTGGTCTAGTTTAAAAAGTTCAATAAAATGTTAATTATTTTGGGTACATGTTGGTTACATTATGTCAGAACATTATCACTAAAAATATATATTCACCAAACTTTCTTTTCAGGATGACTAATCTTTTCATTACTTTTCCTCCTTCAGTACTTCAGCAGCATCTCGCACATCATCGAGAACCACCAGAAGAATCCTTTGTTTCTGATCGACATTCAGAGTAACACCAAGGACACCACCAAACTGTGCCACCCTGTGAAACCATAGAACATCATCCATGACAGAAACAGTCTATTATAGACCATCATCTATGGAAGAAACAGTCCAATAAATGAAACCATAGACCATCATCCATGGCAGAAACAGTCTATTGAAACCATAGACCATCATCTACGGAAGAAACAGTCTATAGAAACCATAGACCATTATCCACGGCAGAAACAGTCCAATGAAACCATAGACCATCATCTACGGAAGAAACAGTCTAATGAAACCATAGACCATCATCTACGGAAGAAACAGTCTAATGAAACCATAGACCATCATCTATGGAAGAAACAGTCTAATGAAACCATAGACCATCATACACAGAAGAAACAGTCTAATGAAACCATAGACCATCGTCACGGCAGAAACAGTCCAATGAAACCATAGACCATCATCCACGGCAGAAACAGTCCAATGAATGAAACCATAGACCATCATCCACGGCAGAAACAGTCCAATGAAACCATAGACCATCATCCATGACAGAAACAGTCCAATGAAACCATAGACCATCATCTACGACAGAAACAGTCCATTGAAACCATAGACCATCATCCATGACAGAAACAGTCTAATGAAACCATAGACCATCATCCATGACAGAAACATTCTAATGAAACCATAGACCATCATCAACCCTGCAGCAATCCAAAGTAAAAAGCTGATGGTTTTTACTGGAGACTCTTTGCAGCTTGTGTTCTGACTTTTCAAACAGCTGAAGTTCATTCCGCTCCCAACTGAAATTACAGGAAACACAGATGAGTAATAAGATTTGATTGTATTG